CAGGACCCCTGAGTCATCTCCTCTTGCCCAGCCCTGGCCCAGGTCATTCCTCACTGGGTGATTAGTCTGAGCGTTTCTTGCTACCGGGGTCAGAAATTCCCCCCGTGTGAGCTGGAGAACCCTTGGCAGAGGGGCTGGGAGGTGCTCAGGCTAGACCAGGGCTAGAAAAATTGCACTGGGCTGGAGGACGATGGGAGGGAGCATGATCCCCCCCCCGGCAGTCTCCCACCCCTGCATCAGGGCAGAGACCCGGGATAAACGAATCCCCCCTGTCAATCCACCCCCACCAGGCGATCCCAGCGAGCCCAGGACCGAAAAGATGGTGTTTTAACGTGGCAGGTATTAGGAAACGTGGGTTTCCTGGAGAGCTGAAGATGGACAGAATTTGTCACAATAACTTGAACAATCCAGTCACAATCCACCCAGAGTGCTACTCTCTCCAAACCACTCTAGAAAAAAATTCCATGGGTACTCAAGTCAGGAATAACTAGATTTTCCTCTTGGTTACCCAAATAAAAGGAAGCGTGCCCTTGTTTCAGAAGGTAAAATTAGAGTCCTGGAAATTAACTCCTAACTCATGACAATCAGTTTACTCTGATTTGTTCTTGTGGAGTTGTTGAGGTTTGGGCAACACCATCTCCTGCTGTGCTACCCCCTCCTAGCACGGCGGTGCAGAACAACGATCTCTTCTCGACTTAACTGCACTGGCCCAACAAAGTCTGAGGCTTTTGGGGTTCGGGGTTTTTTTGAGTCTGCTCTTACACGAGCCCCTCCTCTCCTCCTGGGTGTCCTCTGGCGATGGGGGCTGCACTCCCTCGGTCTGGCTGCCGCTGCGTCACCTCGCGCGGGCGAGCTCCACTCAAAACCATTTTTGGTGTGGGCTTGCCAATGGTGTGGTGGCACGCAGGCCTGTCTGTCTGTCTGTCTGTCTGTCCTTGCTATGTCTTGGCTAAGACACTTTGAAGCGTGCACCCCAGTATACGGAAATCTAGATATACTGCCGAAAAGAAATAACTATTCCAGAAAAATTCTATGGCCTGAGACGCGGGCGAGCTCCACTCAAAACCATTTTTGGTGTGGGCTTGCCAATGGTGTGGTGGCACGCAGGCCTGTCTGTCTGTCTGTCTGTCTGTCCTTGCTATGTCTTGGCTAAGACACTTTGAAGCGTGCACCCCAGTATACGGAAATCTAGATATACTGCCGAAAAGAAATAACTATTCCAGAAAAATTCTATGGCCTGAGAAAAGTAACCAACTCTGAGCATGACGGAGCCTAGCGCTCTTCCAGCGTCCCGAAGCAGCTCAAGGCTCTGTGGGTGCTTTGCAAGCGAGCTGGGCGGACCAGTGCTGCCCCCCAACCCACAGGCAGTGCTCGGTAGGGATGACTCCATAAGTGGTCTCCCGTGGACTTACGTAGCTATTATTTCTTGGCACCCACTGTACGCTGTTAGTGTGTGATGGTCCCTCATCTGTGGCCACCATTGCCGCGCGAGTTCCCAGTCAGCCATGGAGTTATCTCCAGTGACGGACTGAGACGGCGCAGAGCGCTCCTGCACCTCCCTGGTCAGGCCACGCCAGTGCTCTCTGGGGAAACACAGCCAAACCAAGCATCAGGCCTCCTTTTTCTCCAAGAGTTGCTGGACTTGACATCAGGGACAGCCTCATTGTCCCAGGCCTGGAGGCCAGACCAACCTCACCTCCAGCCTCGACAACGACAGCCTCGCCCGACCGTCTGCAGGACAAACGGACAGAGCTGGAGCAGAGCTTGCAGCCTTCAAGGCCTTCCTGACTGCAAAGCAGTCGAATGTTATTAAAGTAATATGATTATAAACAGCGATAATTAGAATTAGAGTATTAAGGGCTATATTATGTGCTATATACTATACCAATCCAAAGGATAACGTGGTAAAGCAAAAAGCACCTATATTCATCCTGGGCTGTACTAAAAAGCTGTGCCAGAAGGTTTTTCTTCGATATGTTAGACGTGAATGCTAATTCATTTATATTCACAATGCTAATGCGTCTATTTGCTCATTTTTATACATGGCAAAAGCAGTATATAAATACAGGGGATGTAACGGTTCCCCTCAACCCCTCGGAGTTTTTTGCATCAGACGCAGGACACACCAAAGCTGTTCTGTTCCATTTTCTAAGCCCTGGCTCGGAGAACAGGCGCTCCTGCTGTCGGCAGCAGCGCACCCCCGGGAGCACAGGGGTGCCTCGGTGGCACCCACCCCAGGACCGGCCGTGCTGCATCCACCCTCGGTGCTCCTGGGGCAGGTGAGGAACCAAATCCCGACGAGGAGCGGCGTCTCCGCTCCCCCCGCCAGCCAGAAGGAAGGAACAGGCATCCCCACCCAGGCGCTCTGTTATTCAAGTAAAAATCTAAAATGGTTTTGTGGTTTCTCACTGTTACCCAGGTTTCTCCTTCAGCTCGGCAAAACTACGTCTGTATAAGAACAGGAGAGGGTTAACGTGGAGGATGGGCTCTGCCACCGCCCGAGACTTCTGCCAACAACGAAAAGCCGTTGCTTCTGACAAAGCCATTTTTCTTACATATTAATAACAAGAGAGGAGAAGGTTCTAACTTGAGGCACCTGAAGAGCGATTAGGATTTTCTAAGGGTGCTGTGAAACGAAGAGGCCATAAAAATACTATTTTGGGATGAGATCATACCCATCCACAGACTTGAAGCGCTTCTCTGAAGGTATTTTGACCTCGGTGACTATCAGCATTTTGCACCATAACGGGCCTTAACATACACATGTTGGATCATGGGGCTAGCTGCGTTCACTTTAATATTCCCCCATTTTAAATATAAGAAAACTTGGAGTCTTTCTAACCGGTACGGATCACCACCGGCACTGATCACTTCTTGTGTTTCACAGGAGAAAATCAAACACGTTACCCATCCGCTATCACACTTACATCGTGACGAGGATTTCCGACGGTGTCAGGAAATGCTAAAATCAAGGAGAATCCCCAAAATATTAATACCCCATTTTATTCACATTTGAAATAGGGGATGGCAGTATAGGGTCTGGATATGCACATACATTTAAACCAGGAAACAACACAAGGGTACAAGCCACTGAAACAGAAGAGCTTTCAGTCATAAAAGCAAGATCTCACTGCTTTTTGGTTTTTTAATCAGGAAAATTTGCAAAACCTCATGAAAACCCCTGCGATGCCCGTCTTTGGGTCCAGTGAAAGACCTACACCTCTTCTCTGGGTCACCGCTGCCCAGTCCCACCACCGGTACAAGCGAAGAGCTTTCGTCTCCACATAACTCACGCCGGACTCCCGAGTCACGCAGCGGTGGGAGCAAACCCGGCTCTTCCAGTGATGTGAAAGTAACTGTTCAGTGCAGCTGTGAGCGAGCGGCTGCCACGAGCCTTCAAGCCCTGCAAAACCCCACCGCGCCCGCCGGCTGCGGGAGCGTCACCCTCCCTGGCGGAGGGGAGAAAAACCCAGCAGCGCTGTTTAACCAGGTACTTCCCACCCAGCAACACGCCTCCTCCCTCACACCACCAGCGGCTTTGGGCCGGATCTTGCTCTCGTAGAAATAAATGACAATTTCTTTTCTTTTTTTTTTTTTTTTTGTGTGTAGAAGTTTGAAACCCTACATACTTTCTAAAACACAGCTTATGTTAAGTACTACTCTTTGAATTATTGGGAGTTCATTCTTCCAAAGCATTAGAAAATACACTTTATTTCCTTGATTATAAAAAAATATCCAGCGCACATCTAAAGAAAAAATTACCATTAGTCGAGGAAAATACCAAGAACACTCCTAGAAAATAGGAAACTATAAATCTAATGATTAATAACTTAAAAATAGGTCAACTGAGAAAACGCTTACGACCACAGAGAGAGGAGAGTGCGTCTCTCCTGCAGCACAAAGGAAGGGATACGCTGGCGTTCAGCGGAGCTGTGCCGAGTTACTCCAGCCACGACATCCCACCTTCGTGGTCAGAGCGGCTATTTTGCTCACGCTACGCTCAGAACTCCGACTGGTATTAGTGGAATTTGCACACAAACCACGAGCGGCGGGAGCTCTCTCTGGTTTTCTATCTCGAGTAAAATCCATGAGACCTGCGTTATTTTGACCAACACTTCAAAAAGTTTAGAAACTTAACTCCCCACCCCCCGCCCCCGAAAACTGGCTTAAAATATTTATTAATTAAAAAAGTTAAATATTTATTTATACAAATATGATGAGAAAAATCTCATGCAGACTTTTCACATACAGCAACATAATTCAAATCATACTGCGATGGTTTTACAAAATAACTGCGCTCAGGAACTCTGACGGAGAAGTGTTGCTGTCGCCTGCGTGCCTGAAAGCACCACGCACGGCCGTTAGAAAGCTATTTCTGAAACTTAAAGAGTTTTCCTATGGAACATACGCCAAGATTTTCACACTCTTCACTAAGATTAACAATTAATTATCTTCTTACTACTACTCAGAGAACTGGACAGAGACGTATGACCACCGGGTAACGAATTCCCGCATCCCGCCCTACCTCTAACACGCTATGTTAGTGCATAAAGTTGCCGAAAGATTGCTTTAGATAATTCCCCTAAATGATGAAAATATCTTGAGATTGTTATGGATGGCATCTGCTTCTGCTTAATTACAAATCTGCATTGGATTCATAATTTGTGTATATTACAAGTAATTTGCATAATTAAAACAATTAAGGGATTGACATATCATGGCAATTAGAAATGCATCAAACTCTGGATGTGGTACAAAAGAGAGCTTCAATATGAAACATTAATTCTTTGAGAACAAAATATCCTTCAGATTCCCGCAGAACAGCCTTCACCAACTCAAGAGATGTTCAACAACCCCCGTCCAGAGAAAGTTTTTCTCAGGGATATCCGCTTCCTCGTCACGCCGCTGCTCGTGTAACCCCCAACGCTTCAGCCTTCACCTGAACTTCTTCCTGCAGTCACAGCACGGGTGTGTGTATTTATTGCCAGTTTCAGGAGGTTTTACCTCATTTTCCGTAGCCTTATCCTGTTTTCTTTGTCCCTCTTTTTAAGAACAAGTATGAACTGATTGAAAAAATGCTCTTGGTCCTTCTTCTTCTGAACAAGGCGAAACCGCTGATCTCTTCCGTGCTTCTCCGCAAACTCTTTAAACGTTGTTCTGCGGAAAAGAGAGACATTTTAAAGCTGCGACTTCATCAATCCACTCGCGGACGCTTCGGCCTGGATCTCACCTAACTGTTCACAGAGACACTAAAAACGAGGGGCGTTCCGGGGAACGTTTGCCAGGAGCATGACGGTGAACCCGGGACGAGGGAGGCGAGACCACGCCAGAACCGCCTGGGCTTTGGACTCACGGACCCGCCTGCAACAGTGGAGTTCCAGTTTGGGATTCAGAAAAACCTGGGTGATGGTTGGCAGGACAATTCTGGATCACTAGCGCAGTATTTGCTACAGCACAGGTTACTGCAGCCCTAACCTGCCGGCCCTCAGGGCCAGCACTGCGGTAATTAGCCTGTAACAGAGCAGAGCCCTGCGTCTAATCGCAAACAACTGCACCCTGACTGCCAGCAGGACACAGCGCCGCACGAAACACCACGTTGGTCTGACCTTTCCCAAAGCCAGCAAAAAACGAAGCGTAACTTGGGAGTGACGGGCACGGCGCCATCACAACCCACGGGCAGCTTTGCCGGAGGATTTCACCGCCAGCTCCAGCATCTTCCAACGCCAACGCAGTAAACACAGACGTTCACTGGTATTTTGCCCGGATGCCTTTGCTAACCCCAGTCCAGGCCCACGTGTCCAGGCCCGAGAGCAGCATGGCGGGCGCTATAAAGAACCGGCACCACGGTTCACAGACCAACGACAAGGGGGTTTTTATTTAAACTCCCGGGCTTTCAGTGTTTCCAAGGTGCACGTTGTTGTGTTCCCAAGGTGTACACTCTTCCAGCAGCGTTTTCTAGCTTAATCTCCTTGTCGGTTGCATCCACAGCGCCATGGGATGTGATGGGAAGCTGGAGTTAACGAAGGAGAGGAGGAAAGCGGTGACGATGGGAAGGGCAGCAACCCCGCGCCGCTGCCTTGCTCTCCCTGGGATGACTCTGCTCCGTCACCGTGCCCTGCCTCCTGCACTTGGACTGTCGGCTACACCAGGGCCCTACAGCACGTGTAGGTTCGTCACAGCCACGTGGGGAAAGGCCTGTTCTCTTTTTACTGGAAATATTTTTGATTTATTTACCTCATTGTGTACCAAATCGAGCCAGAGACTGTTGCAGGCGGGTGAGTCGCTTTGATGCTGCGGTCTCGCGGTCGCCTCCACAAAAACGTTAACAGATAAAACGCTCTCTGTCCCGCAGGCCACCACTGTTTTGCCCTGGCAGACTCAAAACAGCGTTGCTGGAACCAGCGTTTAGCTGCTACGGTAGCCCACAATATTCTCAATTTTGTTGCAAAAAACTTCTCCTAACTATTCCTTCTGTAGAGCCTGTTTGTACCCACGTGTCTAGGCAGGCAGTGCTGTACAATCACCAGCATATTTCAGTAGAGAAAACGGTAATTTCTTAGTTCCAACAACTTAATCAGATTTATAATGTATAAACCTTTATTTTCATGTAATTTACAAACGCAAAAGCACTGACCTAAGCACTGCGTTCGGTATTGTGCAGTTTTGGATCCATTAATTAAAAAGCACTGCGGAAAAATTAATTATAGCGTTGCACGCTTTATTTTAATCTAGTGATGTGGCATTAATACTAATTTTGTTAAATTATATTTCTCTTCCATCAAAAACCAAGCCTAAATACAGATTTTCACTAGTTACACCTGTACGCCTAATATAAACGAGATTTAACACTCAGGTACTGATTTTACATAACTAATATATACGTGTGTGTGTTCTGTAATTATAGCATATATGTGCATATAAAATAAATGTGTTACGCAAAATATTAGAGAGAGAGGGAGAGAGAGAGGGAGAGGAACAGAGAGAGAGATGGAACGTTCCCTTTCCCAGTAATGAGACAAAATATTGTCAAATATTAGGGATGGAATGTCCCACAGCACTGTAACAAGGGACGTACAAGCTGGCTGCAAAGTTCTGGGGCCGATAAGCACAGGCCAAACGAGACAGCTTATCTCCACAAATCTTCAGAAGGCAATGCCATACCTTGGCGATAACTTGGATTCTTCAAGGAGCTTTTTGAATTCTTCTTTGGCTAACAACAACTTGTTTTTCTTTTCTTTATACTCTTCTCTGATCCGGGTCTTGACAAACTGTTCAAATATCTTTTCAAGAAAGGGAAACAAGACAGAGGATTTATTAACAAAGCCTTTATGGTGTTTAGGCCTGAGCGAAGGGCTGTCAGTCTCAGGAACCGCAGCTCTCCTCCGCCCTCCGCACCGGCTGACTCGCGTGCAGCTGAACCTGCTTCGTGCAGCACTGGTCGCGCGGCCACACAAAACAAGTAGCCGGAAAAAGGGACAACTGGGACAGACACCTTCATGCAAACATCAAGGGCAACATAAATCAAAATTTCCTGACTTCAGTGTTTTGCTCACGTTTTCACGCCTACAGCATCAGGTTTAGTGCATCTGTACATCCGACTGCAGTTACGCAGTTTGGATCTCGCATCTTTCCCAACTTGCTGGAATTCCTGAAAATGTCTGTGGTGCTAAACATCAATATTCTCCACATTACCCCCCCAAAAAGCCTGAAGACCTTTCAAATCAGTCGCCAAAAACCACGAGCTTGCACACGCTCCTCTGTGCACACACACCCGAAAGCTTTAATGCGTTTGGAAGGGTCGGCAGCCTTCCTCCAACGGTACTTGGCAGCTGAACATGCCGCTCAGCACCAGGATTTTTGGTGTCTTGAAAAGGAGTTAAGGAGTTCACAATGTCACAAAATTCTGCCAACTGCTCTAATCACATTTTTAATACCAAAAATCCGGCCCTGCTGGTTTCCCACTCTAAAATGTGTGGCACACTAAGCTGTTGGATAAAAGGAGCTGCTCCTCAAAATGCTACTGGCTTTACACATGCACCATCCTTTTCACCACAAATTGCATACATTAAGCATCATTACTATGGTCTCTACCACAGTCGCCTTCTCATCAGCCATGAGGATGCACGGGTGCAAATCCACATTTCACGAAAGCTGAAGTAACCAAATTACACCCGGTATTTAGTACGGTGGGTAGAAAAGGGAAGAAATAGCACCGGAAAAGTAAACATCAAAAAACGGCCATGAAAGAAGTACTACGAAACCCCCAGGAAATCTAAATACATTATACTGTGTGCGATTGCGTAAGTGAGATGGAAAAAAGGGAACAAATGAAGTAGGGGACACTGTTACTGCTTGCCTTTCTAGTGTCAGTGAAGCTATTACGAAGGTAATAAATCAAAATTAACAGATAGCTCACTATTTTAACGCAGTTGCTCCTTTACCCTTCACTGTTCCTTTCTTAAACACAGCAGCATCTTTCAGCTGATCGTAACCCCTGGGAAAATATTGGCAAGTCAGCGGAGCAAACCGCGGATGTTCAATAACAGATCGTTACGTTCCTCGGTCGAACCCACCTCAGCGCAAGTTCGAGTCAAGAGGAAGCTCCCCCGGACGCTCGCGGATCACAGCCAAAACACTTGCCCTACCCTTTCGTGCCTGCCTGCCCACGGAAAGGAGGAAACTGCAGAACCGCCAGGCACGCTCCGGCACGCGCTCCGTCCTTCCCCCCCTCCTTCCTCACTCACAGTGGGAGCCGCTTTTCACCTCTAACCCCCTCCGGTATAAATCCATTTGCATCATTTCAAACGCACTCAGACGCTCGCTGTTCAGGCCACGCAGCCAGCACCCGTGAAGGTAAATGTCTCCATAAAGCTAAATAACGTCTTCTACTCCTCTGAGCTGCACTTCAAGAAGCACTTCCATTAAATCAGGCGTCTGCTCTTGTCCGAGCCTAACTCTCTTCTTAAACCACTTCTTGGAGGAAGACGGGGTCTAATGAAACGGCCCATCACGTCTAGAAATCTTAACTTCAAGCTCAGCAGCTAAAATATATTACAGACCTGGCATGTGCTCCCAAGATTGCTGTTTTCGTAACCCTGCTCTGCAGAGGAGCGTCCAACGACCGCCCCCTTCCACCCGAGCTCTGAGCCCGAATCAGTCGCTCTCAGAGCCAACCTCTACCCGACTGCGGGTTTCTACCCACAGCACTGCCAACTCCTTGCTTTTCATAACCCGTTCCCCGAGCATTCAATATACCCCACAGACGAGGCCCCCCTCAGCAGTGCTTCAAGCACATGATATTATCTGTATTCACGATGTATTTTTATTGTATCATCTCCAAGGCTGGGAAAATGAAAGCAGTAATATGTCTTGATTGACTCATCAAGGTCTAGGTTTCGTCCTTGCTGATTCCCTGAAATAAACACAGAACTCCCCGCTTAGTCTCTCGTCTAGCAGTATTTTCCATTCCAGCAGTTTCTCTTACACTTTCATTCCCGTATTTCCTCATTATTTTATTGTCCTTTTTTTCTTAGGAAAGAAAATATTGGTAAAGGGAGTAAATGAAGATGTATGTGCCCAGTCCCTCGGTAAACACCTACAGGAGCTCTCTGGAGAATCACAAGACAATATGGGCCCCAGTGCAATGGAACAGGAATAAGCACATTTTTCATCGTGTTTATTCAAAACACGGACAATCCCATACTCAAAATTCTTCCTTTTTCAGGACGACAAAAGACTGGTAAGGAAGAGAAATAACTAGGGAATGGAAGCGTTCACCTTCTCTGCAGCATTCTTGCATCCCTCCTAAAATTTTTAGACTAATCTGCAGCCCTCAGGCCCTTTCAGGCCCCTGGCGATAATTAATGCCCACGTGAGCACGGCAGCAAGGAGTCCGCTTCCCTCTGCAGCTTGCCAGAAAAACTAAAGCCTTTGAGACACCAGCCACAGTGCTCGATCCCTGTGTGTCTAGCAAGCTTAGTTATTGCAAAATACAGCAGTAAATTCCAACTCCTAGAAAACATTCTAAAAATGAAGTAGTCTCTCTACGATTTTTCAATAATCCCGAGCAGAAACGTCCCCTTACGGCCATTTCCCTTTCCGCAGCCCAGCTTCCCAGGCTCAGCAGGAGTTGTTCCTACAACCCAAGAGACCGTAGCTCGTCTCTATGTCCAAACCCACTTGTTACCCCTTGTTTGTCAAAGGCGACAGCACTTCCTTACAAGCAGAGCCTAAACTACGAGTCTCACTGAAAAACCCAAAAAAAGAATTTTTAATTTTATGCAGTTCTTTTTCTCCTACCAAGACCGTTACTCTGTTATTACGGTTCATTCAGGAGACGTTCGCAGCCGGTCAGAAGCTACGCTGGAGGTAACGCTCACCTGCTTTCGTTCTTCCGAATTTAGCAGAAGGTAGCGGGGATCAAATACTATCTTGTGTAACTCTTTTTCCCATGTAGAAAATGCTGAAACCTGTGAAGTACACAAACACAGCTGCATTAAGGAATTTTAATAAGGATGTGAAAGAAGAAAATGTTCCAAGGTGAAGCAAAAGAGTAGTTCAGAAAGCTAATGAACCCTCTAAAGGATGCCTCAGAGCGGTTGGAAGCTGAATTTTAATCTGTTTCTGGCAACGCTCTGGTCACCCCCCCCCCACCATTAGTATTGATTTGCTCTAGGACATCTCGGTATCTGGGAGACGCTCGCTCCAGATTTTTGATGGAAAGAATCCATAGCAGAAAGGAAAATGCCATTTTATTATCCCCTTTGTACAGCAGAAGCATCAATTTCCATTTAAGCAATTATCTCAGCCTTAACTCCCCTCCTCTCCCAAACTCAAATTATGACCCAAAGGAGGCTGCCGGTGCAGGCCCACACTGAAGAGCTAGCAGCGAACATCTTCAGAGCACCCGGCTGCTGCAGTAAACGTGCCGCTCCCCACCGGCAGCACGACCACGTCTCATGTCGAGGCTTCTCCCCTCTCCTGCCGAACGCAGCTCTGCAGAGCGGGACCCTGGGCGTCCCTCCGAGCCCCGTGCATCGCCCCCGTTCCTGCAGCCGCATCAGGTGGGAACATCGCGCCCCTACCGAGCTCCTTCATCTCCTCCGAAACCGCCTTACGGTGAGGGGGCGGCAAGGACCACCACGAGCCTGAGCAGGTCCCGCACTTTGCCCGGGACTTGTAGGGAACAGCAGTCGGAGTGCAGGACTGAAATCCCCAGCCTGGTTTCGGTACCTCGCACAGCATCACTGTTAATTAGTTTGTTACAGAAAACTCCGGAGTAACATAAAATATTCGAATCGCTCCATCTAATCACAAAGAAGAGTAAATTCACTAAAAAAATTACGTGAAGTGTTAAAACAGAGTAATTAACACTCAAACAGGAAAGCTCTGACGAAGCAAAGTGGGTTTAAAAGGACTGGTTTTCCTCTCATAGCGGTTCAACATCAGCATATCCAAAGTCCAGGCTAACTCTGCGGACGCGCAGTGATTCAGGGCCGCCTCCTCCAGGCGTCGTCTCCTCACAGCCCGCGGGTCGCCCTCCTTGCCAGCGCAGGGGGCAAAGTCCTGAGGTTTGGGGGTTTTCCCTAGTGTCCCCACAGAGGGGAAGGAGAAGAGAGGTCTGAGCCTGCCGTGGGGTTCCAGTTCTCAACTCCTGCTCTTAACCGGAGTGCAAAGCACGAGGGAAAAAACCTCACAAAAATTCAACGTATTGAGTTTGAGCAGTACGTTGAGGAGTGCAAGGACATCTGTCTGAACAGCTGATTTTATTTTTAATTCGCTCTGGAAGCTCAGCGATGATGGCGCGTTGAGATTTTGGCTTTGACTGAAAGATTCGTAGGAACAGAAAGGTGAAGTGCCTGATATTTCAGTGGATGCTTCCATCTTCACCAGCAAAGGACTCCCAGCTTTCAGGAGATGTTGTTCTGGTCGGGAACGACATCCCCCTCGGACTCACGCTCCCAAACCAGGCAAAAACCAGCCAGAAGGATGGGGTGGGAAAGGGCTGAGAGGAGGCACCCGGGTCGGCAGCGGCAAGGACCACCCTGCGCCCGAGCTGGGAGCGACACCTCCCACTGCTCCCAGCACCCCAAACCGACCCCCGTTATAAGAAATTCAAGTGAGATTCAGCGGCTTGTCCTTCTAGAAAGGGGCTCTTTGGGTCTGTCTGAAAAACAGGATGGGGGAAAATAAACCAACCCCCCACTCCCCGTTCATTTGTTCTTTTAAAATGTGTTCTTTAGGATAACGCGGAGGCTGCAAGAATCGTTTTGAGGCGGGAAGGTGGGGGTTTGGACCCCCTGAACCCCCTTTTTTCTCCCCAGTATTAAGAAGGTAAAATCTTGAGAAAAACACACCTTTTGGAATCCTTTAAAAACAGTCTTGTTTCACATCCCAGCAAAGGGAAGACTTTCCCAGAACTGCGGACTGTAGAACGTGGGTACTTTGATGCCATGGCTGTGAGGGAGCCAGGAAGAGGCTTGGGTTTTCCCCTTCCCACCAAGATTTTGTGGAAACTTTTGAACTCCCAGGAGGACATCAGAGATTACATTTTTACAAAGGAAAACTTGCCACCGACTTAAGAATCGTGCCATTGTCTTGGAGCTACTCCAAAAATCACATATATTTTTAAAACATTACAATAAATTTTCTTCTGTTGATATAATTTATGTAGGAAGATTCAGAACGAGGCTGAAGAACTCCATCTAGTTCAAGCTCTTTGTAATGCCATCAAGTAACTTCTTGAGAAATAACGACATTAGGAGAAAATGGCAGGAAATGTCCATTAAATAATCAGTTTAAAATAACACCAACGGCCTCACGGCATTTCAGGCAATGCCAACCAGCTGGTGCTAACCAGCAGCTTCTCGGGACATTTAAAAAATGCTCAGGGTGAAAGCAAAGTAACCTATTATCTATAGATTTTTAAATAATAGCAAACCCACACAGTAAATTTCCAGAATTTCTTATTTTAATGAGCAAGTCTGACTCTTAGACTGGAAACACTTGAGGAATCCGATTATAGAACAACCCTAATACTTTCAAATTTTGACTTACTGCCCCCTAACTCAAAATACGCCAGCAGAAGCCTTCAAGCAGTATTCATTTACGGCACTTCTGCATTTTTTAAGCATAAATAACAGAACGTATTAATAAAGCAGGTCTGGCGTGGAGATAATTTACTGTTGAGCTCCTGAAGCTCTAATTATCTACCTTTAAAGTCTGCTGATTACTAGTGATAAATTTTATAGGCTTTACTGCCTAACAGCAGACACCTTGGATATTTTTTTTTTCTTTACAGTAATTACACGGACTTCTATAGAATACACATTTGCAGAGGGTCGGAGGGAACCATAAAATCTGCATACGCTGCTCACACGTACATCACACACCCATTTACATTTACAGGATTAGGACCTAAAGCTGTATGCTTATTAATTCCATTCACTCCCAGAATGATCAGCTCTCTGAAAGAAGGGACACTGCGAGTTGAGCTTCTGTGGAGGCGGTTTTCTGTTTATAAATCACAGTATCCAAAACTCCTCACACTGATGGTAACCTCCACGCGGCCAGCGCAACACAGGTTTGGAACTGCTAGCACAGAAAATAAAAACCAGGCTGAAGCTCATTACAAAATCCGTCACCCGGTGCTCTTACTTGCTCTGTAATTCATACTTCACCATTGGTCACGAGGCTCATCACAGTGCTGATGGGTTCTGTCTGCAAATCGAGTTTGTGCTCCATCTATCAACTCCTAATCTTGATTAGGTCACGGCAAAACGGCTGCAATAACTCCGAGCCCTCCCGGAGCCTGTACCAGCCCCGCGGCCACCAGGTCTGCGGGAGGGAACGATGCCCCAGGTGCTCTCGCCTGGCTGGCCGGGGAGGGGACCATCTCTTCTTGTCCCCGTCCAGCCCAAAGCCCCGAGCATCCCACACTCCTGCACCTCAGCCTCAGCTGGAACCACCAGGTCTGCCCAAGGACGGTCGGGGAGGTCCAGGGAAAACCGCAGGTTTTCTTAACCCTCCTGAGACTCCAGAACATCCTTTTCTACCAGACTGGGCAGATTTTGGATGGCCAGTTAAGTGAATTTGGCTTCCCACTGCTGGGACCATTGGAGTTTGGGGTGATGAAACCTCTCCCACGCTAAAAAAAACCCCCAGACCTTGCCAGGACTATTTCTGAGCCTGGCACTGTCTCTCAGGTGAGGCACCTGACACTTCTCCCGCTCTTTGTTCATCATTTCTGGGGGTCATCACCCCTGGGATGGCACGTGGCTGCAGTCCCCACGCCCTGCGGAGCCACTGGTGTGTGCTGGAGGAGCAACCACCTCTGGTTATCTTTGGGCCCAGCTGTAGGGACTGCAGCTGCACAGGGCTCTCCGTTCTGCACGGCCGCCTCTGACTGCATGGCAGCGGAGGGAAAGTCACAGTGAAGCATCACAAAACCGACACAGTTAATAGACAGAAACCCCCTTCTCGGCAATTCTTCACCTGACTGCTAAGTCACAGTCACGACACGACGCCTGCAGCGGTCCCGGATGATGCCCTGTTTTCACAAGCGGGGTATGTCAAGGAAAGCAAGCGCGTTTCTTACCCCCCTCTCCAGAAGCATGTCTCGGAAATGAGTGATGCGCTCTTCTAGGGGAGGCGTGATCTGAGGGGCTGACGTCTCCTCGTTTTTCTCCTCCGTTTCAGCCTCCCCCTGGTCAGCAGCTTGGGAATCTTCTGTTCTTTAACAAGGTAAGATAGAAAACAGTTCAGTAATTGCCGACTCGGGAGAGGATTTTTAGCCCTCTCCAGAAAACCCTCCAGGACAGCAGGGCTTCTTGGCGCGCTCGGAGCAGCCAGGGAGCGGCCGCTGACAGCTGAGCAGTGACCCAAACCTGCAGTTTGTTATTAAACCGCGGGGCTTGCCGGCCCTGCCAAGGGACCTCCGACAGCTCGTTAGGTGGAAGGATGCTCTATCGGTGTGATCAAAGAGGAACTCAGCAGCGAAACACCACGCTATACTTCAAGCTACAGAAAAGTGACAGCTTTATATAAAACCTGCCAAGGAGTGCAGACCTGAAAGGAGTGACTGAAGAGGCTCATCTTGGTTTATTTTCCTTTCCTCTGTTTTCGTGCCCCCAAACCCGAAAGCCAGCACTCATCTCTAGGTTGTGTTCCCACAACCCGCCACGAGCTCACTCCTACGGGAAGCGCTCCGGCCAGGCATCGCACGCAGGAGCCTGCAGTGAAGCGTCAGCGAAGAACCTGCCCTTTGTCCGTGCCACGAGGTCGGCATTTCCCCTGACAGCCTCTTTCCAAGATCGCATCCGATTAGAACAAATAGGTGTTTCTGAGAAAATATTGACTGCTTATTGCCCGAGTCCCCGTGCCTACCAGACCCCCTGGCTAAAGGCAGGCAGCACCTCGGGGCTCACTTCGGGAGAGGACAGTTTACTGCAGCAGTGTAAGGGTGATGCTCTCCTCAGCTGCAATTCTACATCATCAGTGTCAGCACCGGACCTGACCTGTTTCACGCCAGATAAACACCTACCTAATTTCATCAGACTTAGGAGACCATTAACAGGGCACCCTCGCAGCGCTGGAAGCGAACACCTACTTCCCCACTGTTCGGAGGGCTGAAGATTTGCCCCTGTGGGCCCTCAGCATCTGCAGGGAGAGGTCAGTGAGATGGGAACCCCAAAGGCGGGAAGGAGTCTGCTCCAGGGAGGGGTGACGGGATTTGAGGTGGGGCTACAAAACTCCTGACTTCAGAGAAGCTGGCCATCTCGGACCTCGAAATCAGACTTCTGCCCTGGGCCCGTCCTGCTGCTGCTGAATGCTTCGAGCAATGAACGAGTTTGGCAGAAATTAAGGCTCTTTCTGGAAAGATCGGGAGTCTTAAAATGATCACAAGGTTCAAGTGAGGATAACGAAAGTAAGGTGATTTGATTTTTTGCCTCCTACTAGGCACGACTGCATTTTCCACTGATGTTAATTTTCACCACTGTGGAGTAATACTTATTCTGAAATTTCAACAGGAAAACACTTTTTTATTTCCAAGCAAATGAATTAGATCAGTATGTAACGTAAGCCCTGGCATATTATCTTCCTTCCACAAATAATTACATTACACTTACATTTATCCTAAAATGATGCCGCTAAAATGATACAGTGATTTGAGAGATATCAAATTGGCGTTCTTCACAGAATGACAATGACTTTTCTATCGTAATAGCAAATTTTATTCTGTGACATGATCCATGAAAGGCCCAATCCAATTTCTAGTTCACGCAAAGAGCTTTTTCAAGTCAGAACTGAGAGATCTACAGGACACTACCCTGCCAGCCAAGCACCAGAGGAGCCCCTCTTTCCTTCAGTCGTCCTAACGCCATTGAAAATGATGCTGCAAACCACACGGACTTCCTTCTCATGCCAAAAATGACAATAAAGAGTACCATTTTCCTTAGCAAGTAATATCATAATCTGCACAACAAACAATGTGACCTCCTACTCAGATGGACACCTACGGGCAGCCTGCTAGCGTGACCTTGGCAGCCTGCAAACCTCGAAACGGGGACAGGGTGGTGAGAGGCTCTGGTATAACTGCGGTGCTCCCTGACAGGAGAAGAGGTGACAGGCGCAAACGGAACTACAGGGAAACCCACCTGAGCACAAAAACCCGAGGGTGGTTGGACACTGGGGCAGGCTGCCCAGGGAGGCTGTGGGGCTCCGTCCTGGGAGATGCTCAGACCCCCCTGGACACATCCCTGCGCGACCTGCTGGGAGCAGGGTGGGACAGAGACGCCCGAGCCCTTCTGTCATTCTGTGAAGAAAACCCAGAAAACCCCAAGTTTCTCTGAAGATTGTTTTTCTTTTGGAGAGAGTGCGACCAGAGCATCGCCTGAGCAAGAAGGGGACACTCCAGCATTTCCGAGCAGAAACCCCAACGACAGGTACACGAAGACGCAAGAGCAGCCTGCGGAGCCCAGAGCTGCTCCCCCGGCAGGTGCGGATTCTGGCTGGAAGCACTGGACAGAGGTTGTGCAAATGTCCACGAGAGGAAGGAGGGAGTCCTGCCGCCTTCTGCAGCCAGCCTGGGGCCAGGTGCTCTGCTAGCTCTGTCACCAAAGCCAACAGCAGGAGAAGAGAAACAGCAGATCTGTTCTTGCCCACGTGAACCGGGGATCGCTTGTGAACCTCTGTGTGGTGACCTTCTAGTCGAATTATAAAGAATCGTGCTGGAACTTTGATGCAATTAGATCTCATCATTAGCACTGTGCTTTCCGTATAGCAGATTATTTACTGTATCTCAAAGGAATGATATGTTTTACTAACTAAATTTACTTAACTAAAATAGAATAGGGAATACAGCATATTTAAAAACAAACCCTGAAAGCACGTAATATCTCCTTTTTCAGTTATACTTAACCAAGAAAAAATGACGATATTGCAAAAATAAGTGGATAAAGGCTGTGGGGGAGTAAAAACGAGGTTCAATTCCGTGTTCTCCTGGCCCCAGGGTGACCATCCAGCCCAGCGGCGCAGGCACCTGCAGGGGACAGATGCTCAGAGCACCACGGTACGGGGGGACAACAATGCTCCCTCTCTCCCAACAGCATTCTGTGCTAAATGCAGGAAAACATTCACTGTCTTCGCAGGCAATTACTAATGTGGATATGACAGCACTATAAATCATTTTTCTGTCCATCCAACACCAAAATGATGAAAATGTGTTTAGTTTTCTATAAAAAGACAAATCTTTTTTCACCTCTGGATTCAGCCTGGAGTGAGCAGCACTTTGTCCATTCCCATGTAAAACGAAGCAGAGGAAATAGATCTGGACCTTGTACGTGCCATTTGGAAGATGAAAAGCTGGGGATGCACATCCTCCTATCCAAAACTTGGAGCTTAACCAGCATTTTAGTAGACTCTATGTCTTGAGAATTCCCCTTCTGCTGTTTATGGCCTGGAGTAGCTCGGCTGCTTTTCTTACAAGGGATTACGGGTCACGGGTTTAAATCAGTTCTGCTTTTGGCTGAGTAATTCAGACACACACAGAGATGTAGGCAACCGAGACCCACGGCACCCAGAAACAACCACAGCCGTTCCAGACGCTGATGGCAGCAGCGATCTTAACTGCACTGCACAGCTTTGTGGTGACAGGTCGATCTTCTGGGGAGCTGGGGTCACCGCAGCGAAGTCTGAGAAAGCCCTGTGCTGCCAGGCCAAATCTCGCTGGTTCCTTGTACGAATGTTGCCCTTGACTTTCTTAGGACTAAGTGCCCAAACACGGCAAAGGAGAAGTGCTTCCTCCTCATCTACAGGTTTGTTTTCAAAGTTAAACAAAGGCAGAACTTAAGATAGGGCTCTCAGAGCTTTAAATATCCTCTCAGGGAATATTTTGCCCCAAGTCTCAAGTACGACTACAGTTCTATTACTTGTTAGCCCAGACACCTACACACCACACTATAGAGACAGACGCCGACATAAACGGCAGGCGACAGACATTCATCACGGCGCGTCGCCGGACTCCTGAGGCCCACAGTCACGGCTGAGAGCGGGCTGCGTGGCCTACGGCTCACTCGACCTTTTCAAGACCCAAAGGACGCCGTCCCGCCCCATCCACGCTCTTGTCCCTGCCGGATGCCTTGGCAGCACTGGCCCACACCGCAGCGCCGCTTTGCCGTCCCGGCCGCTTGCCACCACGCCGCGGCGTTCCTGACGTGCCGGCACTTTCAGCTGGATGGCGGCAGGATTTACACTTACACACGTACAGGTACGTAGTCATGGACGTCTAAGTACGCACCACAGGAAAGAAGCTACCATGAGCTAAGGCAGGAGAGTCGTGCAGCAACTCTACGGTCGGCTGAGACTGCCCAGTTCGAACTGTATTACGTACGTGCTTTGGGGAAAAATAAAATTACATCAAATTGTATTTCTGCAAGTTAATAAAAACGACAAAAGATAAATTCTGCAAATGCATAGAAAGATGGTCCATATTTGAGCCTTTACAATGTGCTCTTGAGTGTAAAGAAAATAAGGGACTAAACCTCCCAAAGTTAAGTCTTTCAAGAGTGAATAAGCCACGGAAGATGAGACAACAATCCTTACTCTCAAGCAGG